GCTGTGGAGCCAGAGGAAGAAGAGGAGGTGGTGGAGGCCGAGGAGGAGACCTGGGCCCGAAACAGGGCGCTGGGCCCTCTGGCTTCGCTGCACCCACGCCCAGGGGAGGGGCCAGGGCACTCGGCACCTGCTTCGGGGGCCCAGGCAAGGCCCGCTGCCGCGCAGGGTACGTAAGGGGTCTCCTGTCTCTGAGGTTTTCCGCATCTGGTCCCATTCTGACGCCACCACGCCCCTCCCGTCCCCTCCTTTTAAAAAGGATCTCGTAATGCACCAGCTCCACTCACAGCAAATCCAACCCCTCATTTCCCCCAACGTGCTGTTTCAGACCCTAAGGGGGGCGAAGGGTGGGTATGGGGCGCATGGCTCTGGTAGGGTAGGGCAATGGGCTCCTCTGATGTCCCTTAACCTGTGTATTGCAGAAGAGAATGGGCTGATAGTCGGAGGGAACCGGTCTGAAGGGAGCCGGGGGGCCACCGGCAAAGATTGTCCTTTCTGCGGAAAATCATTCCGCTCGGCGCATCACCTCAAAGTGCATTTGCGAGTGCACACAGGTGAGGGGCAGCCTCCGGGGCGGGAGGGTCCTGGAGGGCAGGAAGAGAAGGGAGAGCGCTGACTACGACTTTTGGCAGCCTTCGGACTGGCCGGATGCGGGCGTTGGGAAACCCTTCTTTAGTAAATCCGAGGGGCGGGAGGGGCAGCGTTTCTTTCCTGGTCCAGAGGAGGTCTGTATGTTGAACGAAAGGTGGATGGGGGCGGGCAGTGATCTCGTCTCTGACCCTATCGCACCCCCCTCCCGCAGGCGAGCGCCCCTACAAGTGTCCGCACTGCGACTACGCGGGCACCCAATCTGGCTCGCTGAAGTATCATCTGCAGCGCCACCATCGGGAGCAGAGGAGCGGGGCTGGCCCAGGGCCACCACCAGAGCCGCCCCCTTCCCAGAGGGGTTCAGCCCAGACGTCTGGAGCCAAGGTGGCTCAGCAGCCTGCGACTTGGGTGGAGGGCACCTCGAGCCCCCGGCCTTCCAGCAGCACCGCGCCGGGGTCCCGTAGGAAGCCTGCCAGTCCTGGGAGGACCCTGCGCAATGGGCGAGGCGGTGA